ATAACTACTGAAACTTTTACTGAAAAGGGAAAGTGAAGATCCTGTTGCAGGCACTGAGGCATTGCAAGAGTGGCAAAGCAGCAGGGAGCTTGGTAGTGAGACAGTTTTGTTGCGTTTTCCATCGCTGCTTTGCTATCTTTGAATTCACAATTTGTGGTTTTCAAGTGAACATTTAGAAATGCCTTTAGAAATGATAGTTTGGTGGTGTTACAATTCCTCATTAGCACTGCCATAGAATTGTCAGAAATGTTCACTTTTTCAGGTAGAAGTTTCTTGTTTCTCTATTCAGTCCATATTCAAACAGTTGCAGTGTATCTCACCTTCCCTATAGTACGCAATCTGTAAGAATCCAAGGTCTATAGCCTTATGCAGAATTCTCATCTATGCAAAAAATCTTCAAAACACCCAAACACCCCCCTCCACACAAACAAAACCTTTTCTGAGCCTTCTGCATAATTAAAATAGAATGCAGGAGGGAAATAAAACCCAAGAAATGATAGAGTTTGTGGTTGTAAAGCCGTAACCCTGGGCTCCGTGGTGGAAGTGTTACACATCATACGATCGTTGTACCAACTGGGTGAGTAACAGGGAAGTGAAAACCCTCTAATGAATGTAGTTCTTGGCAAGAGAAGGCATAAAGTGCATGCTGTGCCCAAGGAAAATACTTATTTCCAAGGTCAGGGTCTGAGACCATATCAAAACACAACAAGTGCTGCCTTAACCTAGAGATATTTCTGGAAAAAACCCAGAGAAACACCCCCCGCCCCCCCAAAAAAAACAAACCCAAAACCCTAAACCCTCAGGATCCCCACACCTTTTGAACCATCAGTTTTTGGCTTCTGTACCTATAAAAGCTTTGTCGCCCAAGATTTAGAGATAACCTGAGTACCCATAGTGAAAATTTAGGAAGAGATCCTTCAGATTTGAAAGGTTTTCACATTTGGTCTGTATCAGACCTCACAAGAAGAGGCTTTGCAGTGTTGAGTTCTTGACATGAACACACACCGGATGTCCGACATATTCAGACTGATAAAGTTACATTCATCTTACATCTCCTGTGAGAAAAAGAAAACGTGAAGACACAAAAATGTCAGTCCCAAACTTCACACTGTTTTTCTGACCTAAATTTCATGGACTTGTGAGGAATGGGACGTGTATGAAGCAGAAAGAATGGGCTTAATGGAATTACAGAACCCAATTTTAACGTGTGCTTTTTACCTGCAGTAATTTTCTGCACTAACAAATGGCTGATCTGAATTAAGCTGCAAGCTGGCTGTTGTGAAGATTTCTTGGGGTGCCAGGAAGAGGAAATAAAAGAATTGTAAACAGGATACTCGTGCACCGTAGGAAGTAATACGTAGAGGTTTTGCTTTATTTTCAGTACATGGAAGATGAGGATATCTCTACAATAAAAGGCAAATAGGAGCCAACCCTGTCAGCTGCTCCGCTGAACGCCACACTTCATAACTCTGAGAATAACAGGGTTACCTGAGTAAGTGGCAGCTGCTGTAGGTTTGCTTGTACCATCCCCGCTACGAGAGAATATTCACATTAAGTAGGCTGCGTATTCTGTTATGGTACTGCTTCTGAGAACAGCTAGATACATTCCTCCCCTCGTGTACTACCCCCCGTTTTAGATAGAGTTTAAAGTTTTGGCCTGCCTGAAATACAGAACGGGGAAAGTGGTTTTCTTTATATTCACTTAACTCAGCATTTTAAAATATATTACTAGTTTTTCTTCCCCAGCAAGACAATAGCGGTGGTGAACGTGGTGTACACAAAGAGCATCCTACTACTTTAATCCTTAGTGAAGAGGAAGGAAAGTGCATTTTACATTCAGAAAACTAAATCTGTAGACTCATGCTGCAGAATTTAAAGCACATGGCTGAGTTTCCAAGCAATTTGTCAGTGTGTTTAAACACCTCAGTGTTAGATAGGTAAACAACACAGGCCTGTATTTTCAGGACCATGACTTAGCTAGACAATTGCTGGCAGGCAACTCCCATAGACTTATACACCAGGAAAACTGGTATTTGACCTCGTGGCTGGCTGATGCAGAGCAGGGAAAAAAGAATCAAGTGATAAAGCATCTTTTCTCTTGCGTAACGAGTATCTGGGTCAGGCTGCTGGCAGCGACCACGTGCGTCCGTAATAAAGGTGAGCATTTCAAAGCTGCCTTTCAAACCTGCTGCATCAGGCTGTGTTTTGAGGACCAGCCAAAATCCTGGACTGCGTGTACAGATTGGAAAGTGGGGTTTCCATCGACCTCCCAGGCACATGGCTATGTAAGGTTTTGAAGGACACCCAGTCCCTCTCAAACCTCCCCAATTAGGACCCAGACATGAAACCTGGACCAGGAGAGTCTGGCACACCTGGTTTTTTACATAAAGCAGAAGAAAAAGGTCTACTTATGGAGGTTACATTTCAGTACAAACAAAAATTGCTCCTGATGGAGATAACATGCAGTCTCCTTTCTTTACTGTAAGGGAGTTACAAGCCAAGAATTCAATGCATTAGGCTGAGGTTTAAGCTAAGAGGCACAGCTATTCCTGTTGGAGCTCAGGTGCACTTTTGAATCCAACCAAGTTCTTGCTTAAAGGCAGTTCAACTTGTAGGTGAGACTCTGCTTATTTGGATTACTACATATTCACAGAAAGCGTACCTTTGAGATTTTACTGCTATCCTTTTTGTAAGTTTAAATGCTTGGTATCTTCTTTAGGTCATTTCACAATAAAGTTCGTTTAGCCATGAATTTAGTAGGAAAAACACTAATATGAGTGCAGAAAGCACAAATTTAGTAGGAAAAACACTGATATGAGCCCAAAAAGCACAAAGAGACAGAAGGAACATTTTGCTTTACTACACAGACTGTTCCCTACTGTGCCCTTCTGTCCCCAAAGCCCTGTACAGTTTGCATAATGAGGTGACTGCTTAGACCTGCTGTAGAGAAAGCCCCAACATGGGCTTGGTCTCCTGTGTCATTACCACACAATCAACAGCAATCAGGTAAGGGCATTATCTACTTCTGGTTTGAATGTTTGCTAATGCAGGATATCATCACAAATGTGTAACTCAAAATGCAAAAAACAAGTGAAAGAATTTACTAAATTGGGTGAAGAGCATGTTCCAAGGTTGCCTACGAAAAATCACAGGGAATTCCAGTAGTTCAAGCCATGCACAGCAAACACAGCCAGAACGGCAAACCAGCACAAAGCACCACTTCCCTGCCCCAGTCCTGACGCTGCCCCGGCCTGCAGAGAGCAAGAACCTTCCCTGACAGGAGAGACTTAATAGTTCCAAGTCATCTTTACGGATGTCAAAAGGTTCAAGTCATTTGAAAGTCAGCTTTCTGAGAAGTGAGATCTGGTGATCCTCCCTTCCTGCTATTTTGCTTTACATCCAACTAATCTATAAGGTGCAAAGGCGAGGTGTTGCCTGCTCTCTGGGTCACAGCACTGGTTTTTGTAAAGCCTGCAGCTGTCCAGGCACTCCCAGGTGAAGGCAGAATTTGCACCTTCCATCTGGCAAAGCCATGGCTGTTACCTCTTTCTCAACACTTGACTTTCTCAACACTTGATGCACTGACAGCCTGCGTGCAAGAACAACTGTCAGCATAAGCTTTTCCAGTAGGAAAACATATGGAAAACATTTCCTTTTGATCAGTTTGCATCCCAAATTGTCTTGATTCCATGCTTTCTTCCCCAGTTTATTTGTTTACACGTTGTCATTTCAACCTTTAACACAAGCTTGCTCAGTTACATGTTTGCTGTTGAAACTCTGTTGTCAAAGGATCACTTTCTGGAAAGAATCCTACTCTTCACAAGGGTTTCATCCCTCTAAATTACTCCATAGTTGTAACTACTAAGATGTTTCTTAGATTACAAGAAGATTACAAACTTTGTTTCGTATTTGTTTTGCTGTATGTTACAGAGCAAGGGTCTTTCCCTTAGTTATCCAACTTTGCTCCACATTTCCAAGATTTACCAACTGCCATGCCCATGTTCCAACGCACAAAGCCTTCTTGCTCCAATGAGGGAGACTTTCCAACAGCTTGCCCTCACAGGCCTTAAAAACAATACTTAGGCTAGCAATAAGAGAACATCCAGACAGTTCAGAAAGCACCGATTTCTAGCAAACAGCATGCTTACTTCAACTCTACGCTTCTGTAAAGCTTGCTGCATTGGAACAAGATCTTACAAGAGCATAGTTTATGAGATTTCCCAAATTTCAGGTTCAGAACTTTGACAAAGAGTAGGAATGAAATGAAGCTGTCAGTACAACTTAGAGCAGTCCTTTTTGCAAAAAAAGTCCTTTTGAAGGTAATACCATTTTTGCAGAAATTTAAGGAAAAAAATGCAACATTTTCCAAAAGTGGCAAGCATAACTTTAGAAAGTATTTTTGAAAAACATTTCTGAAATACATTTCGGTTTTTCACTTTGAAAAACATGAGTAAGGATGCTCCTATTTTCAAGTAGAAAAAAGGCAAAGCAGTACTTTGTCAATATAAGGTTTGGGGTGTTTTAATACTTTTGCATCAAGAAAGGTTGAAAAACCATAGAACTTTCATTTCTGCACAGTTAAAAGCAAACACCAAAGCTTTCAGCTTCTTTCTCCTCTTGTTACAAGTTTAGGTGAACATTTCAGACTGTTTGATTCTATACCTGGACAATATCCTGGGTCCATGATTTCTTTCCAAACACATCGCAAATTGTAAAGAAAAACCTTTCCAAGCAGAAAGTTGGAATTTGCGATCACTCTCCTTCCAGTAGGAGGACAAGGGAGCGATGGGGGAAGGAAAGGAAAGGCTGAGTACAGTAACTGCTGTGTTCCACTTCGAAAAATCCCAATAATAGTGGAATTTGTAAAGACTACCTTGAAAACTAATTACTGGTCTTGTTTGCACATCCATTCATTTGGAAAGAGTATGTGTTCTCCTGCACAGCTGCTTTAGGTGACAGCAGGTTGCAAGACTGATGGCATCTATTTCTCTCTCCTTTAGGATGAAAGGATTCATGATGGAAATGTGGTAGCAAGGTGTCAAGCAACCTTCCTGGAATGTGTTTCTTCAGGAAGAAAAGAGATCACTGCCTTATTTTATGGATGTCACTGAAGTAGACTTTGAAGTTCTTCAGAAGCACATCACAAACTTGGCATGGGAAACCACAGCAACAATCATACCTGTTTGACAGATGATTCCTTTAAATACAACTTGTATGGAGCCGTGTACAGCGTGGTCTTCATCCTTGGTTTGATTACTAACTGTGCCTCCCTCTTTGTTTTCTGCTTTCGGATGAAAATGCGAAGCGAAACAGCCATTTTCATGACAAACCTGGCTGTTTCAGATTTGCTTTTTGTGTTCACTTTGCCTTTTAAAATTTTTTATAATTTCAACAGGCATTGGCCTTTTGGAGATAGCCTGTGCAAGATTTCTGGTACAGCATTTCTCACTAACATCTATGGCAGCATGCTGTTTCTCACCTGCATTAGTGTTGACCGTTTCCTTGCTATCGTCTATCCATTCCGATCTCGCACCATTAGGACCAGGAAAAATTCTGCCATAGTCTGTGCTGGTGTTTGGATACTGGTCCTCAGTGGTGGAATTTCAGCTTCATTGTTCTCCACAACCAACATTTCCAACACCAGCACAACCTGTTTTGAAGGTTTTTCGAAGCGTATTTGGAAAACCTATCTGTCTAAGATCACTATATTTATTGAAGTGGTAGGATTCATAATTCCTTTGCTACTCAACCTTACATGCTCTTCTTTAGTTCTCAGGACTCTACGGAAACCTGCCACCTTGTCTCAGATCGGGACAAACAAAGAGAAAGTATTGAAAATGATCATTGTGCACGTGGCCATTTTCGTCGTGTGCTTTGTGCCTTACAATTCCATACTCTTCTTGTATGCTCTTGTGCGGTCCCAAGCGATAGCAAATTGCTCCTTGGAGAGGTTTGCGAGGACAATGTACCCAATCACATTGTGCATTGCAACACTGAACTGCTGCTTTGACCCCTTCATCTATTACTTTACATCAGAATCCTTCCAGAAGTCTTTCAACATAAAAACCCAGATAAAAATGGATTCTTTTTTCAAGACTGAGACACCTCTAACAAAGACTGCGCTACCAGCACCACAGGATGAAATAAGTGACCAGGCTATTACGAATGGAGGAGACCCAACATCTGAATCACATTTCTAGTGAGATGTTTACACATGGAGTTATCCTCCATTAACTTCTGATTAACACCATGTGTGAAATAGCTGTTTCAGAATATGTGGGTTCACACATGGTGTTAATGAAGAAAAGTTGCTGGGGGAATAACTACACAGGTAGACAAACCCTTATACTGGGATGGTTCCATCAGACGCAACAGGCGAACATGAAACATAAAAATCCCAATGGATCTCCCTTTGGAGATTATGGATGGGTGACAATGTATGCACCAACTAAGGAGGGAACAGAACAGCTGCTTTAATTAGAAGATGCCAACATTTGGCATTTTTTTCTCCCTGCAGTTGACATAGGACCAGTTGGGAAATAGAAAATTTAATTTTCTTAGAGATAACCTGCCAATATTTCATGCCTTCTGGAGATGCATCATCATATGTTAACTCAATAACTTCACACAATATGTATGTTTGCTTAAAAAGGCATAATAAAAGCTTTTGGCTTTTTCTTATTTCACTGCAAGAGTATACATCCTGGTTTTACTAGATACAGGCATGCTGAATTTATTATGTGGAAAGGTTTGAAGTGTAAATAATTGTTTTGAAAGTAGGCAAAACAGTTGCTTGGTGACAGAAGAGAAAATAAGAGAAAAACGTAAGTAATACTGCAGTTTTGAAATAAGCTTCATTGTTGCCAGATTAACCTGTCTTTTAATTTATTTTAAATGCCACCTCTAGGGAGAAGTAAAGAGCTCGTTACTGCTCTGTCGCACCTGGGCTTTTACATCCCAGGAGTTTATATGTGACTATTTCTGGTAAGGGCTAGACTGTAAAGTCAGCTGAAAGGGCCTGAAACCCCAGAGTTCTTGCAAGGGCAAATCTCTCACATGGAAATCAAGTGTGGCTGAAGGGCTGAAGAACCAGAGAGTGCTGACCTAAAGAGCATGTTTGGCTACAGACAGTTGGTGTCAGAGCATCCAACTAAGAGAAGATCTTGTAAGTGATTGCTTGCTGGTTTTTGCTGTACAGTCAACTAACTAGAGGGTCTCAAAGCAACTCCAAAAGAAGAGTAAGTAAAACACTTCCCTGGAAGTGTTAAAAAAACCAGGTGGACATGGCACTTCGGGACATGGTTTAGTCTACCCTTAATTGGTTTAATTGGTTTAGTGTGGACTTGGTAGTGTTAGGTTAATGGTTGGACTGGATGATCTTAAAGGTCTTTTCCAACCTAAACGATTCGATGATTCCAAGTTAGCTGCACTCTTTTCTTAGTTGGTTACAGCAACATTTTCTTGTTTTCTCAATTAATTTATTTACAAATCCTGCATTTCCTGTTATAGATACAGATTATATAAATATATGGAAAGTTAACTCTCTGTATGTCATTGCATTTTACTAGATGGTTCATTTCTCCAGCCATTGCTTCATATTTGAAGCTATACTGACCTTAACAGGCTAACTCATTTTTAAGTGTAAGACACACAAATGAGAAAAACAATTTAACTCGAAAAAGTATGAAGTTACAACTTGTTAGATCGGTAATCTACATTTTCCACAGTACAGCATAAAGCTATTTCTAGGACTATGTTGCCAAAAAAAAGACAGACAAAATATTAATTGAACAGATGTTTTCCACTCAGCTATTTATCTTAAGTCTCTCAGATCAAGCCTCATGAGATACTAAGAGCTACACATCAAATGCAATTACTGCTTAGAGCCATCAGAGGTTTTTTTTTTCAAGTGTGAAAAGAATTCAGCTGCAAAAAATGTTATGCTTTGCAGGGAATATTTATTTAGCACTACATTCACTTTGAATAAAAAGAGTCAATTGCTTACCAAGGCTGAGACAGACACTAGAGATCATTCTATTTTAGCCCTAAAATGACCGGTGCTTATCTAGTGCCCCTGGCTTTTGGGTCTTACTGCAGAAAAGTACATGATATGCAGGGAGTATGAGAGCACCCAAACTATTGTACCTCAGCTTTAGTTACAGCTATATTTACTAGAAACTTGCACACACTTGGGAGGTATTTGCTATATATTAAACCCTCAGACAACACCACTTTGGAGCAGAAACAAAATGTGAAAACAAGGACAGATCATTCAAACTAGTTGGTGGAATGAGATAGATGTGGCAGGACAAGGGCACAGTCAATTATACTGAATTTGCAAGCAGCTGGGAAAAGTTTACCTCAAACAGAAGCAACATGTTTGCCATTTACCATATGCAAAGTGAAAGCCAGTGCCATGCCCCGTTCCCTCCCACGCAGGCCTGAACCGAACTGTTTAGAGGGCTTTTTAAAATTCTTATTTCCTTTGGCTGATGAGCCTGTTTCAGCACTTGCCATAAAACGTATATATTTCAGAGAAGCTGTTTCCATAACTTCAGATCAAAATGCAAAGTGAGCCAAGAGGGATTTTACAGGCCTCGATACAGGCAGGGTTTTCCATATGCACCAAACCGTCCCTCGCACCGCAGCGCTGTCAAGGGAGGAGGAGGGGGCTCTGAAACCATCAACAGCTCTGACACGTCCCAAGCTGTGCGAGAGAGGTGGGGCACCCCAGTTCCACTGCCCTACCGTGAACTGGTTGTTAAAAATCGTCTTTAATGAGACAAGAGCTCCCGGTTTAGGGATGGGAGATAGAAGGAATGAGAGTGGGCAGGATTCACTAAAAAGCTGAGGGTGCATTTCAAACCCTCTTCTTATTTGCAAGAAAAATATATGGTGCATGAGTAAGTGCTCTTCTCCAACGCAAAATCCCTTATTTTTTCAGTGTTACAGGGACAGACGAGAAACTTGTTTACATGCCAGCTTGCTCTCAACGGGCAACACGTAACTGTCAGCTTGTAAATCTTATTTTAAAGCTGCTTCTTTCCACTTGCAAGCAAGAAGCAGAAAGATGAGATTCCCGAGTTACGTGGGGTTTGGGAGCTTCGTGGGACAGGGCTGTTCTCACGTGGCTGCTCAGTCGCTCCGGGGTGAGCAAGAGCAGAATTTGGTCCAGCACCTCAGAGCTGACAGCAGAGTAATACCTCGTTTGCATGAATCCTGGAAGACCTTCTGCTCTGCGCTGCGCAGACCTTCCTCTAGTTGAATCCAAGGGAAGGGAAAAAAAAATTCTAAGCTAGAAACCACTGTCTAGCCTTCTTAAGGAAATGTTAAAAGAGAGCGGGGAAAGAACTGCATGTGACTGGACAACCTCCAGGCTGTACATACATAGCTTGACTGTAATCCGAGCATAATGGGTGTCTTTTTCTACGCGAAACTAGTGCCAATGCTTACAAATTTCTGTTTGCAGTTTTATGGGGCAAGAGCTGCGGTCGATATTCTCACATAAAATGTAATACTATCATCATGTGCCAAAATGCTAACTGAAAAGATTCATTATTTTGTAATTTAATACCTTATAAATTATATGGAGATCATATGTTGACTGACACTCACATCTGGTAGGATAGTTCTTGACTAATCTTTTTTTCTAGGTCAGGTATACCAAGTAAATGCTCTACGGTTTGTGTATAAATAACCAATTATGCATTCAGAGAGAGGAAAAGTAATTTTTCAGATGCTGGTAAAGCCAAGCTGGAAGGAACGATGGTGGTAAAAAAAAGTGGATTCACAGTTTTTCTGGCTGAGGTGCAGCTGAGTGTCCCTTCTCCCCTGTCTGACAAAGGGCTATTGTCAGCAAATGGCACGCACCAGAACTATGAGTTTAACAGCAAAAATCGAATTAATTAGAAGTCAATGCCTTTATCTAGCTGAAGCTGAGACACAGGGCCCAGCAATCCCCTCAGATGCTAAGCATACAGCATTAATCCAGGATTTCATTGCAACACAAAAACCTCTCTGCCCAAACTCACCTTTGTATATGCACACCTATGCAAAATGCCATGCCAGTCTGCATTTTCACAGTAGATGTCGTGACAGGAGGAAGCAGGGCCTTGTATTACAGTCTCCATGAAAGCCCCTCCTCTTACAGGAGGCTTTTTAGTAACACAACAGGCTCTACATCAGATGAAAGGTGCCAAGCGTTCATGGGATGGCATAAATCTTCACCAGCTTTGCAGAATCAGTGCGAACTACTCGGGCTCAAGTCTATGAAGTGCAAGGGCAAGGAGGCAGCATGACTGACATATAAAAGTCATGTACTGGCTCCTTGTGTAAGAAGGATGGAAAGTTCCTGTGCCGCACTTGCAAGTGCACAGCTGCTCGTCAGAGAGCAAGGCTCTGTTCCTCCTAAGCTTGCCCACCACAGACCTGCTGTGCAGGTTCAGCCTCTAGGTCCCTCTAAAAATACCCCCATGACATTTTTAGGAAGTTCCCCCTGTGGTGCCGCAGGGGTGATGGAGTGGGACTGTTTGCTGTCCCTCCCTGCCTGCGACCCAGCAAAAACCGGCTGTATAACCCAGAGAGGACTTCCCTCTGACAAATAGCTGGTGAAGGAAAAGGGGACCCATCACACTGGTAAGATTGTACGGGACCTCTGATGATCTTCTCGAAGGCCAGTGTCCCTAAAAAACTCCCCAGTATCACTCCATGTCATTCCCAGCGTGTGGATTTGCTGTAAAACAGGCAGGAAATTACCATCTCAGAAATGCTGTCTCAGAACAGGGACAGCAATGACAACGGTCCTTGCGAAAGCGTGCCTACACAGCGCTCTATTTGGAGAAAGCAAAAAGAGAAGCCGTGAAAGAACCGAGGGGAGCAGCCGAGGCTGTTTTCCACAGCACGCCATGGAGCACAGCGAGGAGATGCCTTAAATTATCATCGACCCAGGCTGCAAAAGAGGCAGAGGCAGCAGGCTCCCGCACAGTCCCAGCCCCGCTCGGCAGCTGGTGACCAGCGGAAAGGGTCGGGAGAGCCACCCCGCGCTCCTCCGCTGGTGCGGGGCACCAAAAGCCAGGCTGGGCACCAAAAGCCAGGCTGGGCACCAAAAGCCAGGCTGGGCACCAAAAGCCAGGCTGGGTCTCAGCGTGCCGGCCAAGCAAACGTAACCCTAAGCACAGGATAACCCCAAAGCTTTGCTGCGTCCGAAAGGACAGACTGCAAAGGGTTCTTTGGATAGGATTTAAGAACAGAAACAAAACAGTCCTCATTTCAGTAAGCAGATTATGTTGCTCAGCATTAATTTAAGAAAGCGGCAGAGCTATTCTTCATAAGATTAGAAGTCCAAGCCCTATTTCCCCCCGCTAATGCCG